GAATTCCTACCCCCCTCTCTCCGCGTACATGATGACGCATCGATCTGAGGATCCAAACACAGATTTAAATCTCCAGCCACAACCAGACTACCCTTTTTAAATTCAGAAAGTTTTCTTAGCACGCCCTCCAAGAATGTTACTGGATTTTTTTTCAGGAAATAGATATTAACTAGTGTATATTCAGATCCTTGTAATTTTCCCCTCAGAAATAGGAATCGGCCCTCTGGGTCCTCCATTATTCTCTCCAGGATAAAACTTATATTTTTTGAAAACCCAATTGCTACCCCTTTAGCTCTTTTAACTGGAGAATCAGCATAGTACCACGTTGCATAATACTTTGTGTATAACTTAACATTTGTATCGTGGGTTATATGTGTCTCTTGAAGAAACACTACATCTATAGAATGCTGGTGGATTTCCATAAGTATGTTATGTCTTTTTGTTGGAGAGTTTAGCCCTTTCACATTATATGTCATAAACTTAATAAAGCTCATTTCAACTATTATTTCCCTACCCTACCAGGATTCCCATCACAGGAAGACAGATCCAGACATTTTAAGATATGGACTTTCTCCTTCCCTCCCTACCACAATTCCCCATTTTCTTCCCTCCCCTCTCTGTTTGCCCACCCACCACCCCTTTTCCCACCCTCCCTTCCCCCTTCTTCTCTTTACCCTAAAACCCTCCAGGCCTACATATTGCCCTGGAATCTGTCACCCCTCCCCACTTATTCCTCTTAGATAACCGCTGCCATCTTCCTAATCCCTGCCCTCCACTCTCTCTCAAAAATATGCAAGTTTGTTTCCGCATATTTTATTTCAGTAGAGTAACGTACACCTTTCCATATTCTCTCTCTATGTTCGAAGCGATGACATTGAACTATCACGTCTCTGGGGCTTTCCACAAGTACTCTTTTTGGCCATCTAATCCTATGTACTCTTTCGATTTTTAACTTTACTGTTGCTGATCTTCCCATTATTGGATAACACACTCTTTATTTTTCTCCCGTAGATCCTCTTCCTGTTCCTCTTCTTCTGGTAGGCCCCTAATCCTTAAGTTATTTCTTCTCTTGCAATTCTCCTGGTCTTCCACTATAAATGAGAACTTTCTCTGTTCTCTACACATCACCTCCACCTGCGTTTCTAAATTATTGATTCATTGCGTAATATCCCCATCTCACTTTTCATGGACATCTTTAGTTTTGGGAACATTTCTGCCATCTGTTTTTGTAGGTATTTGTGACGTGGCTCCTTGCTGTTCCATATTTCCTTGCTCTCTTACACTTTACATGTTTGTAAATTCTTTAGTCTGGTTCTCTTCCAGTGTCCCGAATGACAATCTAGATTGATCTCCATGATACTTTTTGTATTTCTATGGTTTTTATTAATTTTTAAACAGTTTAACAAAGGAGCAACAAATCATGCCCATGCAGGGGCTATCAATTGCACATAAAAAATTTAGAAAAAACAGTGCTCTAACACCAACAGAGCAAAAGGTGTGCCCACGCAGGGCTATCAATGGCACTTAAATGGCAAAACATTAGTATAACACTGACAGTAACTCAAACTAAAGGCAGCTATCCACTGCCACACCAAAAACAAACAAAAAAAAAAAGAAAAGGAAGGATGAATACAAAAGAAATAAGATAAAAAAACCAAGAGCAGGGGTTCAAGAATGCCAATACCGAACAACATCACATCCCCACACCCTCTGAAGAGGGACAAACAGGCTCTTCCAGGCCTGAGCAATTGTTCTAGTGGCTGACAAAAATAAATAGGAAGCCAACTTCTGCTGATGAGCCAAGAGGCCCGGTATTGGACAATGAAGCACATACCAAGCATCCCGGCGTATGGAGAGATGGAAGAAGGTGAAAAGGAGGCCAAACACACGGGACCAAAAACGAAACAGTTTCGGGCATGACCACCAGATATGCAATACATCACCATGAAGGCCACAACCCCGAAAGCATTGATCACTGCAGACAGGGTTCGCCTGGGTCAAACCCAATACCAACAAAACAATACTTGGTATGCCGCCTCCAGCATGGTCGTATTAAATTAACATTTAGCTGTAAACGACCAGGCCCTATTCCAGTCCTCCAGATCCACAACTGCCCCCAGGTCGTGCTCCCACTGAACAACATATGAAAGAGAAGTATGTGTCATACTGTTCAAAGCTGCATAAAGAATGGAAATAAGGCCCGGGGCGCTTGGACACTGTTGGAAAAACAGTTCAAAGGCAGATTTCTGGTACGGGAAAGCGGACGTGCCCGCAGTGAAATCAGCCAATGCCGCAATGGAAGGTAATGAAAAAAAAAATTCTGCCGGAGGGACATCCGTGACTCCCGAAGAGAATTCCAGGTAGGGAAGGACCGAGAAGTCAAAAAGTGCCACACCTGCGAAAAACCATTGGCCACCCACCAAGATCTAAACCCGGTGGGAAGAGAGGGTTGTTAGTAATTAGGAGCAAAGGCAAGAAAGGTGACATCAGGCCACTGAAGTAACATCTCCATCATACTTTTCAATTCTTTCATGCTGTTTTCCCCAAGTTTGGGTCTCTGGGCAGGGGCATGTATTTTCTTATTGTGCTTGTATTTGCATTTGATTGGGGGGTTTTTGATCCCCCCCTTTAACAGATCTACTCTTCATTTCATTCAAGGATTTACAGTTAGCAGGAAAGACCCCTTTTTTTTCTTTTCCTTTTCTTCTGATGACTTTTACTGCCTCTATTATGTTACTTTGGGAGCAGTAATAATCTAGCTCGTTCCACCTACCACTAAACACCCCGGCTCATGTAGTCCTTATATATTTCTCCGTCTCCCCCAGTGTACATGTGTATTTTAGATTGCAATAATTATATCAGGAACAACAAAGGATTAAATGTTCTGCCATTACCCACGGCAACTCACCACTACCTTCTGTGCAGACCGTATAGGATCATTCAATCCCGCTGCACTTTCGGTCCCTGCCGCGGCCTCCAAATCAGGTTCCAGCAAGGTCCAGGTGGATCAGTGGGGGGACTCTATGTCTCAAGTGGCCTGGGGTGTTTCAGGGTCTCCCAAGGCTACTGTCTCACTGTTCTCCTGTTTCTTTAGGACCGTTTGTCACATTCAAAGCTTCCGCCATAGTCCCCGTCACATGGTCAATCACATGGACGCTCTCACCTTCCCCTTCTCCTCCGGTTCCACTGCCTCCAGTTCCCAATCAGTCGGGGGGGTCCAGCGCTCCTCCCCAAACACCGCCACCCGTGATTTTCCCAAGGGTCCACCTCCAGGCACCACCGATAACTACCGGCCCCCTGTCATCGACCTGCCACTGGGGCTGCCCACACTTGGAGTCCCCGCGGGATCCGACACCACACCGGCCCAGGCCTCAGGTAGGGCAGATAGCTTTCAAACGTGGTGGGCGTCTGGAGCTCCTACTCCTCACAGCACCATGTTCAGGCCCCTCCCCCCCTCTTTGACACATATTGACTATGCCCTGTGAGCAGGCGCTGCTGTGTCACACATTTCACAGAGTCTGCCTTCTGAACTACAGAGGTGCTGAAAGGAGGAGTTTCAGAAGGCAGAGTCAGTACAGGAATCACAGCTTGCAGACAGCAAGGTACCATGAGCTATGTATTCCCTAAACATTGAAATGAAATAGGTTGCAAAGCATGCATAGAATCCAAGAAGTTGAGCTTATACTGGATTGTCAGAAATAACTATTATTTGTGTTCTATTGCACTGCTAATGTTTTTAAATGAAAGTGTACGCTAAGACTATAGATCTCCTTTAAGTGAAATGTACCTTTGTTTTATCAGTATAAACTAGGGATGCACAGATACTGATACCGGTATCGATAGTCAGTATTTTCAGGAGTACTCATACTCATGAAAATGCTTCTGATACCGGAAACGGATACTTTGTGGTGTGATTTGCATCAATACAAATTGCCCCGCAAAGATTGACATGCAATTTGAGCAAGGAGAGGAGAAAAAGTGGCAGGAATTTTAAATCCCCACTGCTTTCTCTCCTCTCCTACCACTGAGAATATGGAGCATCTGCCACCATAGTTTACATCCCCCCCACACACCCAGTCTCTTTATCTGCGTGAAAACCTCCCTGCACCATTCCTGTGCGTTTTATTTGGGGGGGGGGGCTGTCGGGTTCACTGTATGTGGCCCCGTGGTTTCTAACAGCAGGACTGAACTTAGGTGTGGAAAAAGTTTAGAACTTTTTCTGAGGTGTGAGTCAGAAAATGACCATTCATTTTGTTTAGTTTTGCAGCAGAGTAGGAATAGAATACCTGCCACATTAAACTGTGATCACGTATAAGAGATTTCCTATCATTTCTTATTGGGATGAAACTCTTTTATTCATTGAAATATGGAAGGGATAAAACCTCAACTTAATGTAATTGTCTTTGTCTTTCTGTCGACTGTTCCTCAATTCCTATCCTGCTGTCACAGGTGCTGGAGGTGAGGTGAATCTCCCTAACAAAGTTAAGGACAAAAATAAAAGTGAGATTAAGGTTAATTTAGTAGTACAAAATTTATACTGTAATGTTGAAAATTGTAACGTTTTGTAACTTCTACCAGTCACGTTTTGATACAGGTTCTAACCCTCATCCACTCAATCCAAAACTGCAAAGAAAAAGAATTTTTAAATATTTTAGTTCATTTAATTGGTATGTATAAAAATATGGCTCAAGATAAACTACTTTGATACAAAATGGAGAATAAATTAACAAAGATAAGCATATGAAAAGTCATTCTGAAGACAGCTGCTTAACCGAGTACAGCAACCCAACAACTCTTATAAAAACTGGAGGAAAGGAAAACATTGCCATGGTTCCCATTTTTAAGTGTAAATGAACGTGGACATTTTGATTCAAATTTCTACTCTGGTTTCTGGTTTTTGTGAGCTATACAGATTTTCCTTTCACCAAGTCTTATAGATAAGACTATTTGTAGAGAATTAAATGGTATATTGCTTCAGAATCTTCCCAAGTCCATCCCTGTTAGTGGCCTACAGATATAGAGTGCTTCTGTCCACAGTTGAGATGAGGATCTTGTATAGCTTTCCACATGATCAGTATCTGATATGGCACAAAACGGTGTACCATTAGAAGTTCTCTATAAAAGCATGGGTCAAAAGAGTCTACTTTGGCAGATTTCACATTCACTCCTACTGTTCTCATTCCTATGTGAGAGCCTGGGACTAAGCCAGCCTTTGCCAGACACATGCCTAGATAAACATCATCAATAGGGATTAGGGGAATTTCTAAGGATTTATTATAAATGACATGAGCAGTGTATCTGGATAGCAAAATTCCCCCACCAGCACAATACATTGGGTAGGAATTGGAGCTAGCGATCTGTTCTGGTACATAATATTTGCTACCAGTATTACGATCAGGCTTCACATCAGTTATCAGCTGTCCAACAAAGAGGTGATTATCTGCATCCAGTCCACTTAGATAGGTGACAACATTAAAGGTATTAACAAATACATCATCATCTCCATTAAAAAGAAACTTAGCTCCTGGGGCAGCTATCCACAAACCATTTATGAAAGAGGAGCTGTTTCAATGTCAGATTAAAAAATGTGTCATGGAAGTTCCACTGTAATATATCACCGTAGGTTTCACTTTCGATTTTTAGAAGTTGCCTTAATTGTTTGTCCTCGCTCTCATTTTTGGAAGTTCCAGAAAGAAAAATCCTTCTGATATGGGCACCGTTATAGCTGTTTTCCTCCCCCCAAGTCTGGCGAATGATGGCTCTTCTTTCATAATTCCCAGGGGAAGTCTTTATGGCAAGAAGCAGAAATACCCTTTTGGATTTAGCTCTTCCACCACACTTCTGTGGTGCATTAAGAATCTGTGGAAAGCTTGTGCAGTGTTTATATCTCAAAAAGTCTTTAATGTGTGCAGGTAATTTGGAAAATTTATAAATACTTTCCACTGAGGAGTTCTCCTGACAGTGGGAGACCCATTCAAGTTTCTTTAAGGTAGCAGGTTCAGAGGTAACATGAGGAGTGAGAATTGGCTGATCTTCAATCTCTTCAATTCCATCTTTTCTTTCTTGCATAATGAACAAGAGACCAACAATCCCCACACACAGCAGTAGTATGCTTCCCACCTTGACAATAGGCCGCCTCATATTGATGCTGTGAAAAACAAATAAAACTGCTTAAAGAAAGTCTAATTTTGTCAAAACTACAATGCAATATTTCATAAATCTGTTTTATAAAGCTGTATTTATGCAAAGAGCAAACCCTTGAAAATCTGCTATTTCAGTGTTTAATAGGTGCTGCAGAGTTTCTGTGAGTCTCTATGAGCAAAAAAAAAAGTTGCAGGTATAAAGTACAGGCATATTGTACAGGTATATCTGAAACAGCCTCCAAAGCCTCTACAGCCAAATAATAGGCCATTCTGACAGGCTACAAAAGACTGAATTTAAGCTGCTTTGCTTGCAAGGCAAAACACATGGCTGTAGGACTTACTGCATCCAGCAAGTTCCAGAACTTCTTTTGGGAAACACACGTCAAACGATTTGGTTTGCGTGATTGTAGTGCAATTTGTCACATGACAATTGCGGCAGAATTGCCCCACATTTTTAGGTGCCATTGAAATGAATGACACCTGAACACACCAATGTGCAATTTGACATTTTAACAGTGCGCTTTGAAATCGTGATCAGAATCATGACGATTCTGCCTGCGATTCAAAGCACCTGTATACAAACGGAACCTCAAGCAAAACAGGTTAATTGTAGCTTCATGATTGCCATCTACATTATGCCAGTTATGTAAAAGGGAATCTGCAGACCTGCATTTTGTGTGCATATGAAACTTAGAACACCCATCTACACAAGTTCTTAATCATCAATTCTAATATCTCTCAGGGATTCAGTATCTGTACATGGGTTCCAATCTGCCACAGCCATTGTAAGATGATTCCTTTCTCCATACTAGGCATGTTATTTATTTTATGTAAAAGAGAATGCAATAGTGTGGAGGGAACATTCCAATCAGGGGCATTGCTAGCGGGGTGCTTGGGAGTACGGAAACGGGTGCACAGATGTGAGTGGAGCCTCATTGTTCTGTGTAAACACACCAATTTCACTTTCAGGCCCCATTCACATCTAGCATAGCGGGAGCGCACGATTTTTTTTGGCTTGTTTTTTCCCTTGACACGCATAAGGCAGCCCGTTGATTTCAGTGGGCTGCGCAACATGTGGCTCATTGGCATATTGTGGGTTGCACGTTTTTTACTGTGCGTTTTGCTGCGTTCGCCACTCCTTTTTTAACATAGCAAAATGTTTGTTTGCTTCTGTATTTGGTGTGCCATTAACAATTAATGGCACCGAAAGCACAAGTACTTAATTTTAGGTGTATAAAGGTGGCCATACACTACACAATCTAATTGTACAATCTCTGTACGCTCTCCTTTAGAGTTACCAAAACTATATAATAGGAGGAAACACCACCTATCTAATCACTGTTTCCAATCAGGCAGGCCCTTACACTACATAGATGATGGTAGACCTAAAGCATGGAGAAAAATCGATGCCTGTGTATTTAGTGAGAAAATGTGCTCCTGGAAGTGGGTGGGAGGTAGGAGGGTAGATGATGCAGGGGGTGTGTGCTAATGAGGTCAGCTGGTCAATTCCTACCTGTGTCATGAACCTAAAGTCTCTCCAGGAAGTAAGGGAGAAGTAATGGAGTTTTTTTTTTCATACAGCCAAATGGAAGTAAGAGCGTGTAGAATAAATGGAAAGCATTTTTATTTCTACATAAGAAGTACATAAATGCTTTATTGGTACTTAGAGGAGCTGGAAAACAAAGGTGAACTAAGCCTTTAAGAACACTGTAAAGATGTGGTGGACTATTTTTTGTGGTTATGTTAGACTTTTACACAAATCTGTTTTACGACAACTGGAATATTTTGTTTGTCGATCACTTAGCGCCTCCTTAGATCTGTATTTTATTGCAGCTGTAATGGTATTATATGGTTGAGGTATGGTGACTTTTTTTATTTATGATGTTTGCATTGTAAGTTGTATTGACCTTTTGTGCACTTGGTGATTCAACACACGTCCTCTAAGGTGCAGTGTTGAAAGGTTTATTATGTTTATTTTATTCCCACAGTCTCTTTAGTTCAACCCCAGGCCACATTTGGTCTATACAACGGGAGAAAAATGTCACACTGACCATGAAGAAACACCCACTTGCTGGCAACACCCACAAGTAGGCAGTGGGCGAAGTGCAAGGTGTGCTACATTACCACTCCCTCTTGCACTCCCAGTGCCAACACTTCCCAAAAAATTGTCTGGAGCTGCCCCGATTCCATTATGCATGGGAAGATCCAAAACACTAAGGTGGCCAAGAACACAGCCAGGAATAATAGAGGCATCTCACTAGAAGTCACCAAAGGATGTAAGAAGCCAAACAAAACACTTGCATTAGGCTCTATCTATAAATAAAATATTCCTGGGCAGACTGATCCTTTGAAAATATTCATAAATAAAGTATGGTATTGAAAAAACAGCATATAAAACTGAATTTAAGATTATTATAGATTAGATATTCAGTGAAAAAGTAGTTCCCGAGAATTAAAAATAAAGGATAAATTATAAGTAATTGCTCTACAAGAAAAATCTTTAACCACTTGCCCTCCTGAGGATTTACCCCCCCCCCCCTTCCTGACCAGGCCTCTTTTTGCTACTTGGTGCTGCACTAATTCAACTGATAATTGCACCCAAACAAAATTTACGTCCTTTTTCACACAAATAGAGCTTTCTTTCGGTGGTGTTTGATCACCTGTGCACTTTTTATTTCTCATGCTATAAACAAAAAAAGACCAAAAATGCTGAAGAAAAACGATATTTTTTTACTTTCAGCTATAAAAAATATATAGTAAACTCAAAGTTAGTTATAAATTTAGGTCAAAATGTATTCTGCTACATGTTTTTGGTAAAAAAAAAATCCCAATAAGTGTTTATTATTATTATTACATCTTGTTTATATAGCGCCAAAGGGTTTGCTCAGCGCTGTACAATAGGGGGGACAATACATGGCACAGTACAACAAAAACAGACAGGGTACGAGGGGTAAGAGGGCCCTACTCTTTCAAGCTTACAATCTAGGAGGGAGGGGGTAGTGGAACAATAGGGAGTGGCTGAGGGGAATGAAGTGGCTGAGGGGGATGAAGTGGTGGGAGGAATGAGGTAGAATGGCTGTTAGGTGAGGGTGGGGTAGGCTTCCCTGAAGAGATGGGTTTTGAGGGAGCGCCTGAATGTGGGGAGGGAAGGCGACAGTCGGATGGATTGGGGCAGTAATGGATTGTGTGAAAGTTATAGCGTCTACAAACTATGGTATAGATACTGCAATGTACGCCATTTTTTTGCTATACAGCGCTGCACTAGTTTAACGGACAATTGCGTGGTCATGCATTATGGTACATAAATTAAAGTTATGTCCTTTTTTTCACACAAATATAGCTTTCTTTTGGTGGTATTTGATCACCTGTGTGCTTTTTATTTTTGACGCTATAAACAGAAAAGTTTTTGAAGAAAATTTTTTTTTTAAAAAAAAACAATATTTTCTCATTTCAGTCATAAAAAAATATCCAAAAAAACTAAAATTTTGTCATAAATTTAGGCCAAAATGTATTCTGATACATGTTTTTGGTTAAAAAAAAATCCCAGTAAGTGTATATTTATTGCTTTATGTGAAAGTTATAGTGTCTACAAACTATGGTATAGATAATGGAATTTACACAGCTTTTACTTTCTGACCACCCATCACATTTCTTGAGGTGCTAAAATACCAGGATAGTACAAACACCCTCAAATGACCCCTTTTCAGAAAGTAGACACCCTAAGCTATCTGCTGAGAGGCATTGTCAGAGCCTGGAATCGAACCTGGGCCTTCTGCGGTGAGAGACAGTGTTTCTTCTCGCTGAGCCACCTGGAATGCTGGACAGCTCCCTTGACAATTCTTTGGATGATCCTGCCTTTGCCCTGTTTTGTCTTGAACCTTGAACTCCTTGCTCCTCCCATGAACTTCCTATAAAAGCCATGTCTCTGCACTTCCTGGTTGCCAGATTATTGTGCCTTACCAGCCAATATCCTGCTTACTGTTCCTGCTGCTGTCTTCATCTACGTTACCGACCTTTGGCTTGCTACTGACTACGATTCTGCCTCATCCTATCTACTACCATTGGTGACCGACCCCTTGGCTTGTGACTGACTCCGCTTCTGTTTAATCCCTGAACTGATTGATCCGCTTTTGGTTTCCAGCCTACTCATTCCCTGGTGGGGTGATCCTGAGACCTGTGACCTGGCATTCACACGCAGCCAAATCCATCTCCACCATTAGGAGCTCTGGGGAAGACCGTGGATGCTTAGACCCCGCACCTCAGGTGAGCCTGCGTCATTCCCAGGGTGGGCCGCTGGTGTACCAATCCTGCTGGTTTCAGGTAAGCCTTACAACTGCTGTAGCAACTGGTCTCTGAACCTGACCTTATATCGTGACAGAATAATCTGGCCCAAACATGGAGGCCGCTATAGCAAATGTTGTGAATCCTCTTAGGCAGCAAATTGCTGAGCTGCAGGAATTTGGGTTACCCATCAGGAAAAAGTTGCCAAACTGGAAAGCATTGTGGATAGGCAACAGGGAGAGATTCAGGCTCTGCAGAGGCAACTGCTGAACCGTGATGATCCTAGCTCACATATGCCCCAGCCCCAACCATCTAAGTTTTATGGAGACCGCCGCCAATACAGGGGTTTCCCTTAATCAATGTCGCATATATTTTCAAATGTACCCTGCTGCGTTTCTTCAGAGAAAAAGAAGGTAATGTTTATTATTGGGCTTCTTACTGGGGAAGCTTTAGCTTGGGCCTCCCCTTATATAGAGCAAAACCATGGCATTCTAAATAATTTTGATACCTTTTTGACCGCGATGAATCAGGTTTTTGATGATCCCCAACCGTTGTGCTTCTGCCGAAGCAAAATTACATAGTCTAAGGCAGGGTAGACGCTCGGTCGCTGAATACACAGCCGAGTTCAGAAGTTGGGTTGCAGATACCACTTGGAACCCTGCAGCACAAAAGAGCCAGTTCCGCCAAGGGCTTTCTGAACAGGTAAAGGATGAGCTT